TTACTGTTTTTACCGAGGTTCGACTCCTGGAATTTACTATTTACTGAGGTTCGACTCCTGGAATTTACTGTTTTTACTGAGGTTCGACTCCTGGATTTTACTATTTTACTGATCGTAAATATGATCTGGGGCACCAGCCCTTGTCTTTGAAAATTACCGCAGTCTGATGTGCTGATCGTAAATATGATCTCTAGCGCAGCCGCTCCTGATGATGGCCGGTGTTCTGACGGCCCGGCCGAAACACGTGTAGGGCTAAACGTCAGTCGCGCTTCAAGTTTTTACGGCGCTCTGCGTCCTCTGCGTCGTATACGGCGCTCTGCGTCGACATTTCCCATGTGCTTTATTGTTTATCATTCGAATTGATGCGCTCGGTGGTTTTACTCCTTCGTCTGTCTTCTTTCCCTGTCTACGCGTGTCTTCTTTGCTTCGTCTCTGTCTGTCCGGTCACGCGAAGTGATTGCACTCGCATGCCGTGTGTTGTCATTACTACTGATCCCAGAGCTGAAAATGCCCCGGATCATATTTACGATCAGTAAATAGTAAATTCCAGCAGTCTGAAAATGGCCTTGGCCAGACAAAAAAATGTATTGCTATTACAGAGGAAAATATCCGGAAGGAAAATATCGGGGAGGAAAATATTTGGGAGGAAAATATTTGGGAGGAAAATATTTTCCTCTGCCTCATTGTCTGCGTTTAAATTTTAGTGTGTCCTGGAAACGGCCTCTCTTCTTGGATCATCATATTAGCGACTTTCTCTGCCCCAAGAGTAAACGGAGATTCTCTGCCCCAAGAGTAAACGGAGATTCTCTGCCCCAAGAGTAAACGGAGATTCTCAGCCCCAAGAGTAAACGAAGAGACAATGTACTATTGTCGTACATTGTCTCTCAGTTTACTCTTGGGGCAGAGGAAGTCGCTAATATGATGAGATCCCAGAAGAGCGGCCGCTACCAGGACACACTAAAATTTAAACGCAGAAAATGAGGCGTGATGAGCATGGCAGCAGCGAAAATTTTAAAATTTTTGCCTGTAGTGGTAATTGCTCTGAGAAATGGTTGCTGTTCTTAAAATTTTGCTCTTCCGTCTTCTCTCTTCTCTCTTCTCTCTTCTCTCTTCCTCTTCTCGCTTCCTCTTCCCTCTTCTCTTGTGCGTTTTCTTCTTTTTATTCTTCGAATTTAATGTTTCTCCAGCTCGTCTTTTTGAAAAATTTTCATCCCGATCCCTGTCTACGTCGTCTGCAGCAAAGGGATTGACTCTGGTTTCGTTTGTGCAGTCGCTTGATTCTGTGTGCCAGGTTGGTCTGGCAAAGCAACTCTGCTCCTGATCCGGGTAGAATTGTGAGGTCCCCGGCCTCGTTTATCGCCACATTTAATAAACACATTGATGCCAAAAAAAAAAAGAAAAAAAAAAAGAAGGGTTTGACTGCAGTAGAGTGGCCTTGTCGTCACGATCTGTTGAGATTCGGCCCTTTGTTCCAAAGGTTTCTATAAAAAAAAAATAAAAAAATTCATCCGATGAATCGCGTTCTCGTTCTTCGTGCCGCGCGGTGCTCTCTCTTTTGATGCCTCGTCATGAGAAATTCCGCGTTCGATTTTTTTCTTTCACTGATTTGTTAATCTCGTTGTTGTTGATGTCGTTGATGGCATCACTTATGATCTGTGTAGCCACGCGTGTTTTTTTGTTGATGTCATCACTTTTGATCTGTTTTAGCCACTCGTGTTTTTTTTTTTTTTTTTTGTTTGTAAGGCAGGCATTTTGTTCTCTTTATGGCTCGTGACGATACATTTGCCGTACGCATTTCTCTGATTGATTAATCTCATTAATCTTTTTTTTTTGGCTGTTTCCTACTATTAAATTTTATTTGTGAAATCTCATTCATCTTTTTTTTTTTTTTTCGCCACCCCCTTAATCTCAGTGGTTTTCTTTCTTGTGCAACCTCTGATTATCTTATTATTATTATTATTATTACTTCTTTTTTAATGTCTTTTTTTTTCTTTAAAAAAAGAAGTTGAACCATTTCTCGATTTATCTGTGTCATCCTTGCGCAGGGGCCATTTCTTTTTTTCTTTAATTTCGACCATTACCTCTCTGTATCGTTTCAGAATGATTTATTCTGGTCATCTGATTGCATCTGTCTTCAAACGTGGGTCTGATTCATATTTCAACAGTTCGTGGGTGTGTACCAATTTTAACGGATTGTCCCGAAATACTGTGTGGTCCGAACTTGTTCCCAATTTTTTCATTTTTTTTTTTTGTTGTTGTTGTTGTTGTTTCTCGAGTCACATTTATTTAAAACTCGGTGATCCTTCTCGCTGATCTTTTTTTTTTTTTTATGTCGCCAAAAATTACCTCGCTGATTGTGCAATGTCATCAATTTTGCGGGTTGAACTTGTTCCCAATTTTTTCAATTTTTAAAATCGTAGTTTGTTATTTCTCAAATCTAATTGATTTTAAGTTTTAACCTCAGTGATCATTCTTTTTTTTTGTATCTGATTTTTTTTTTTTTTTTTTAATAAAAGCTGGGAACCGGGCCCAGCGTCCCTCAGAAAATTAGGTGGGGCCCTCGGCGGGCAATCGTTCTTGCGTAAGCAGTGTTTTTTTTCTGGTTACTCCTGATGAGACACATCTCGTCAGAATATGTGTGATTGCATTTGGACACCTCCTGGACCCGATACATTCAAAATGTTGCACTCGTCCGAATGCACGTGGTCCAGAAAACGTCCAAATGCAAGTGTAGAGAGTGTTGTGTAGTCGAGGGAGGCCCAAAATATATCTTCAAAAGAGCCCTCTAATAAATCTCCAGTGCCTTCCGTCTTGACCCGAATAGAACGCCCGGTCATGATAAACTGTTTTCGCTGTGATTGCATTTGGACACTTTCTGGACCCGGTACATTCAAAATGTTGGACTCGTCCTAATGCACGTGGTCAAGAAAACGTCCAAATGCAAGTGTAGAGTGTTGTGTAGTCGAGCGAGGCCGTATAGACATCTTCAAAAATGCCCTCTATTAAATCTCGAGTGCCTTCCGTCTTGACCCGAATAGAACGCCCGGTCATTATTATAACTGCATTCGGTGCAACTTTCAGTCTAGATACGCGATAATGGCTGGGCGTTCTATTCGGGTGAAGACGGTTGTGATCTGGACTCGAATAGAA